CCCTCCTTCCAAACCGTATGATATGCATTTTCTACATCAAAAAAGACTGCCACTACAGATTCTTTATTAACTTGTGCTTTCTTAATCTGTTTTCAAACATATAAGAGGATCCATAGTTTCTCTACCCCTCCTAAATCCACTCTGATGAGGTGAAAGAATTCCTCTGCTTTCCATAAAAACCCTAATCTTTCTGTAATCATTCTTTCCATTATCTTACCTATGTGTGATGTGAGTGCTATTGGTCTATAGTTTTTTGGATTTGATGGATCCTTCCCTGGTTTCCTGACAGGAATAATCACTGCCTCTTTCCAACTAGTTGGCAATTTTCCCACTTCCCATACTTTGTTATAGAGAGCTAGCAGTTTCATGGATGCTAAATCTCCTAAATGTTCTAACATAACATAGCAGATTTGATCCTTCCCAGGAGATGTTAGTCCAGACCTTGCTACTGCTCTCTTCATTTCTTCCATTGTAAATGGAGCATCCATTGTACTGTTAGTATTGTCCCTTCTCTCAAGACTTCCAGGATGAGCTGATCTTGTCATTTCCCTTCCTCTCTACCTCCTCAGTCAAATTATCAGAACTATGCATTTGAGTAAGTGCCTTCGTTAACATCTCTGTTTTCTCTTCATTGGACGCTGCTGCTTCCTCCCCTATCTTCAGTACTGGATACTGCCGTTCCTTTCTGGTTTCTCTCATGTTCCTAATCATGCCCCAAACCTCCCCCACAGGTGTTGATCTTGCATTTTTTTTGCACAAGGTCTGCCAGCTTTGTCTTTTTGCTTTATGTATAATTTTCCTAACCCTTGCTTGTGCTTGCTTGTATCTGATTAAATTCTGCACATTTTGAGTTCGTCTTAATAACCTGAGGGCTCTGTTCCTCTCTCTCACTATTTTACGACATTCATCTGTCCACCAGGGAACCAAATTCTGAACTCTTACCTGATGTATTTCTCCTTCCCTTTTCACCACTTCACATCCCCCATAAGACACACTGTGATTGCCACCACAGTTACAGCACTTTGGTTGTTCATGATCACATGACCTATACTTGTGATTTTCCCCACATCTGGCACATCTTCTTCTGCCTTTGCATGTCTTGGCTGTATGACCAAACCTTTGACAGTTGTAACACCTCATTGGCTTTGGCACATACTCTCTTACAGTGCAGCTTAAAAAGTCCAGAGTCACTTTCTTTGGGAGCACTTTGTCTTCAAAATCTAATACAACATGCTCACTGTCTTTCCTCACTCCCTCTCAAGTTACCTGCAACCGCCGAGCACCTTTCAGGGTTCTTCCTTTTTAATTTGATTTAATTTCCTCCATTGTGAGTCCAACTGGCACCCCTCAAATCATTCTTTATCTCCACTTACTTCCTCCTGCATCATGACTTATACTTTCCACTTTAAACCGCCCTACTTCTTTCATTCTTCCAGCCCGATCTCTCTGTTCTTCATTCCTGCAAACAATCAACAGATTTCCATCTCTCAAAACCTGAGCCAAGTGTATATCCCCAACCTGGTTTCTCAATACAGTTGTTAATTTCACCGGACTCATTGAAGAGATTCCCTCTCCTCGCCAAATCTCAATATAATTTTAAACTCCAGACCTTCCTGATTTCTCTCCTCCCTTCCTCCACTACCCTTGATTTTCTTTGAGCTGTTACTAACAAACTCATTCCCTCTTTTCTCTCTCATTCTCTCACTACCCTGACTTACCTCCATACTGTCATCACTTTCATCTATGTCGGAGTCTCCCCACTCTGGTTCATTCACAACATAGTTGTGCCAACCTGCCACTGCTTTCTTCATCTCATTGGGTTTCCCCCATTGTAATAAGCTCTGCCAGGTCGTCAGGCTACTTTTACATCTCAAAGCTTTCTCACATGTTGTGCAAGTAAATGGCTTCTCACCTGTGTGGATTGTGTGTGATGTTTGAAATGTTACTCTGATCGTCAGTGTGACAAAAGAAATCTTGTGCTAACAAAGTTATCTTTCTTTTTTAACTTCACTAAAATCATTAAGGTTTCATTTTCTAAAGTCAGCTGCTGTAGTGTACCTCCTCTAAATGTGGTCTGGCCAAACTGAGCTCTGGCCAACCTGCATTCTGATGGCGGTGGCTTCTGCGTGCATCTACACCTGCAGTAACATTGCATTTTTCCTCATTCAGTCTACAGGCACAGATCACAGATGTAACAGACACAAGGTAAAAACAGTCCCACATTCTGGTGTCACTGTTGACAAGTTGCTCATATGCACCAAAGAACACGGTGTCTGCAGATATAACCAAGGTCAATTACAGAGTTCTTAAGACATTTTTAATCCCACCTTATATGGAATTTAAAACCATCTCATGGCTGTCATAAATGGTACTTATTATTGCTATATTCAGAGAAATACAACAAGGAAACAAATTATTTTTCTTTGGTCTGTACGATTGTAAACTGTCATTGGGTCTGTCAGGCTGGAGAAACTTTCACAGTAATGTGACCAAAAATGTTTAAGACCTATTGAATCTGAATTTAAGACAGTTTAAGACTTTTCAAGGCCTTATATTAAGAAAACTTTATTTCAGACATTTTAAGACATTTTAAAGGAGCTGTAGACACCCTGACAAAAGATCACAGCAACAGGACAAATCTTCTGGGATCAGTTTATTACTGTGCTCACTGCAAAATCAGTCATACTTTGAATTACAGGTTCCGCTCACATTTTCATGGACAATATTTCCAAACTTTTTCATGACTTTTCAAGGACTCATAATGAAGAATTTTCTTTTTCTTTCCCCACTTGCCCGGCGTTTTTCAAACATCAGATTCAAACTCTATGTAAACATAATTGGCACACAGGAAGGGAGAGACAAACTGAGGGAGAA